CTGTCTAAAACACAGCCACTAACTGCCCATGGACCTGAGGAGCCATCATTTGAATCAGCTACCAGCTCAGCGGGGGTACAAGGCCGGTGAGCCTGTCTGAACCACTTGTCCTCAAGTGGCCAACAGACAGGGAAGGCAAAATGGACTGGCCTCACTCTGCTTTGCCCAGTACAAACTCCCTTTCCACTTCCTAACCTATTTGAAGCCCATCTCTGTCTTCTGTTTTAACTTGATATTTGGGGAATGAAAGTCAGCTTAGAAAGAGTAAAGAAAAATGGCGGCATATGTCACAAGCAGGCATTCGCTGAGATTGCTTCCTCTGTGTCATCTATGCCTCTTCTCAGCAACCAACCCTAACTAACCCCTCACCCTGGAGAACTCCTTGAGAAGTGAGAGCCATGACTTGCATTGGAACAGAGCAAAGCCAGTCTTTGCAGTGGCCTTCAAGACCTTCACGGTGGGGATACCCCCAGCCTGCAGGCTAACACCCGCCACTATCCCTTCTCATTCCGCTCTTCCCTGGCTCCCTGGCTGTGTCCCCTTTCCCCAAAGAGCTGCAGTGTGACATCCATCTCCACCTCAGGTGCTTGTTCAAGTCACGTTCTCAGTGGCTTACCCTGACCACCTTATTGAAAATCACAGAGCTCTCTACCCTGGCATTCTCAAAACTCTTTATTCACTCTGCTTTTAAAAATTGCATTGATCATCTTCTAAAATACCAAATACTTTGCTTTATTTATTATGTTTATTATTTATTATCTATCTCCCTCATCTGGTTCCCAAAATAAGCTCATTGGAGCTTTTTTTATCTATTGTTCCTGTTGTTTTGTTCACCAATATGCCTAGAGTAGTGTCTGGTTTTTATTAGGTACCCAGTAAATATCTGTTAATGGTTTAATAAATGAATAAATTATCCTTTTGCTTCTTTTGTCAGACACAACTGATAAGAAGTGGTTATATTTATAGTAAAATCGCATTCATTAAATACAAAGATCCAAAATATAGCCATCTTATTTTTGAGGTTAAACAGTTGCAGACTCTTAAGAAGCTTATAGATTAGATTTGGTTTTTTGTGTCTTGGTTCCACTCTTATGAAGCTTGCTGCCAAAAATTCCCATGGCAGCTTGTTCCTTGTTAAGACTGCGGGGATATATTTAGAGCACAAAACCTCTGTATAAGGATCACTAAACTCTGGTGTATACCTTCTTCATTCACCTCTGTTAGCTTTGGCTCTGGGTCTTACACTAAACTCTGCTGTAAATGTTGCTGCTTTCAAACCTCTTATACAGAAATGTAGGCTTCAACAAGACCTAACTTGAATGACTCCTGGCACTAGAAAGGTATTTAGGATAAGGATGAGCTGCCTTTCAACAAGGCTTGCAAATTAAAGAATTATACTTTCTCAGGCTATACCACAGGAAAATCCCTGCACTAGAGATGATTCATTGATTATATTTTAGGTATATGTTTTGTCTAGGCCAAAAATTCACTCATTCTATGTACAAGTATACCTGGAGGTATACATCTCTTTTCCAATTTTCTTAGTATATTTTCCATAATTAAAAATCAACTCTGATGCTGTGAGTTCATTTTAAATCAAGAAATATCTTTATTTTCCCCAAAGGAGAATTGTCTTATGGGTTTTTTTTTTTAATTTGTTTAATATTCTGAAGAAATCCTTAAGCCAAGAAGCCATAACCTACGTGTCGGGAGCTGCTAACAATTAAAGCAAAACAATATATTGAATAAAAATGGTTTAATCACCATGAAGCCTGGGGCACCTGGGTGGCTTAGTTGGTTGGGCAGTTGGACATATGTCTTTGGCTCAGGTCATGATCCCAGGGTCCAGGAATCTGGCCATGTCAGGCTCCCTGCTCCGCGGAGAGCCTGCTTCTCCCTCTCCCTCTGTCTCTTCCCTCTGCCTGTGCTCTCTCTCTCTCTCTCTCAAATAAATAAATAAAATCTTAAAAAAAAAAAGTTACAATCACCATGAAGCCTGGAATTGGAAGGTGTGGGGAGGAGAAAGAGCCCTTATCATTTGTATGTTCATGTTTATTCTTCTGATTCTAATTCAGTATAATGCATTTAATTCTAGGGGGAGACTGATATTTATTATTTTGAATATTTGAATATTATGAATTTACCCTCTAATCAGAGTTTAATTCCTAGGTCTGAAACCATGCCTAGAAACACAAGCTCACATTCTAAAAAGCTCATCCCTTGAGACCTGCTATGATAGATAGACAAGATCTATTTGACTCTTTCCTTTGGAAAGATCCGAGATTATTTTCCAGGTTCTGTGATCTGTGAGCTTTTAGCTGTGTTGTTTCTAGAACCCAGTGCTGATAAGGCCCTGAAAGTGGGATAACAGTATAGGGGACTTGGTCTGTTTCGTGGGCCCACCCCAGCCAGGCTCTGAAGCTGGGATCCATTCCCAGCTCTGTTCCTTTGTAACTGTGTGGCCTTGGAATTCATCTGAGCCTCCTTTTCCTCACTGGTAAATTAGAAATAACAAGGACACCTGTATAAGATAAATCAGTAATAGTTCTCAGTAAACATTAGCTGTCAATATCATTCACATCTTTTAATCCTCACAACATTCCTACAACAATTCTACAACTCCACAAAGAATCTACATCCCTCCCTTAGACATTATCAAATCCAGGCACAGGACAACTTGCTCAAAGGCATCCAGAAAATAAGGGGTTAAGCTAGTTTAAATTTAGAAAGGCTCTTGCTCCTCCTTCCCGGACAACTCCTTTGAAGCTATTTGATTTTAACCCAGGAATTTCTTTCTGTCTGTAGGTTGAGAACATGAACTTTAATCATTTTCATTTCTCTGTGTTACTTACCAAGGGTCTGGGGCTGAAAGTCAGCCCCTATCTTGACCCTGAAGCATTGGTTTTTTGCTATAAAAGAACATTCTACCCTGGAGATCTGATCACAGTAGCTCAATACTAATGTTTGTACAAAGCTGAGCTAGTTCCTGGGAACCTCTGTAACATATATTTGCCCCTGGGGTCACTAATGGCAGAGAGATCAACAGTTAAGTGGGAGCTAAGTGAAACATTTATAGGAGAAGGAGAAGGAACATTACAACTGGGGCCACATCCCTTGGGGCATATACAATTCAGCTTTATTTCAGAGTGCAATTCATCTTTCTGTATTTTAAAAGACATTCTGCTTCAAACATTTTATAGTGTTTTAATGGCCCCCTGAAAGGGAACTCCTAAACCTGCTTTGAATGCCTCCTGTGTGCTTAGCCCTATGTTTGGGACCAGAGAGGGACCATTCTTGACCATGACTATAAGATAATAATCGAGTAGAGACACCTTAATAACACAGGACAAAATAAGAACTGCAAAGAATATGCTAGCAATGTGGACCTTTGTTCTCCCCGAGGCTGATAACCGTCAGGCAAACAGAAAGACTTTCAATCTGAGGTGGTTATTTTGAACAAAAAGAATGTGCTGTGATCAAACAAGAAAAGGGAACAACTTATTCTGATGGGAAGGCTTGGGAAAGGCCCCATGGAAGAAACAGTCCTGGCCTCAAAGAATAAATAAAATTGTAATCGAGGGCTACAGAGACAGCCTGAGCAGAAGGCAGGGAAGTGGGTGAGGGGACTGAACATCCAGATGACCAGGAGCCTCTGCAGTTAAGCGTGGGCTCCCTACAGGCAGCGGTGGAAGGTGAAGGGTGAGGGTAAGTTGGAGCCCTTCTGGAAGGCATAACTGACATGGAGTGTGTGTTCTATTTTCTGAATAATTGGGAGGCTCCCGAGGGGCAGAGTAATCTATTCATTTCACTATTTTGGAAAAAATAATTCTGGAGCTAACACAAAGGATGAATTTAGGGGGTGAAACTGGAAATAGGACCATCAGCTAAGAAGTGCATGCAGAAGGCACAGCTGTCAGCCAGGGATGAGGCCATCACCATGACGGTTGCCCAAGAAATAAAAGAGCTTTCTGAGGGGGCCAACGACTACTCACCGGGACAATAATTTGCTATTGTCCATGGGGAGTGGGGAGAATTGAAAGATGGGATGAAAGAATTGGTGAGTGTAACCAGGGTATCTTGTGAGGCGATGACAGGTACTGGGTTCCCTGACAAAGCTGGAGTTGGTGGAAAATCTCATGTTTTATGACCCTACTCAGCTGCATTGCAATAACGTCATCTTCCAGATCCTTTCGCTATTACAAAGCATAATTTTCTATTTTCAAAGCACAAATATACTTGATAAAAGCAAACCATTCAAGAAAGCTTAGAATGTGCCCAAAGGAGGCCACACCAATGCCCTCTATAGCTTGAACTTGTAGGGGAGGCAAGACTTGATCTCTACCCACTTGGGTGTTCAGCTGGGACTCTAACAAAAAGACAGGTTAAGGAGAAAAACAAACAGGAGTAACATGTACATTTCATGTACATGTGGGAGACGCCCAGGAAAAGTAAAACTCAAAGAGGTGGTTTTAGAATCCTGAATTAAATATCACTGAGTAGGGAAAGGGGAGGGGACATAGGCCTCTGAAGGGAGAGCATCTGATCTTTAGGAAGAATAGATGAGAAGAATATTGTGTGATCAGGTTTGTCAGGGTGCAGTATCGACTTCCAGTCTCGTCTCCAGCACTAAGAGTCAGTGCTCCCTGATCAATAACACTCCTGGGAAAGGGATTTATGACCGTTCTTTTGGAGCATTTATCTCTAGAGAGATTAGGTTGTTCAGAGACAGTGTCTCCTTGCATTTACCATTTTCAAATGCTTGCAGCTCAAAAATCATCAATATAGCGAAGTAACATATTTTGGGGTAAGTGTTCTGCCACCCTTCAAGCTAAAGGTAACCTGGGAATGACTATGTCAGACACCCAGAAAGAGCCATTAGAAGAGCAATGCCTTGAGCTGCTTTAAGGAAGGTTATTCTGAGCCTTATCTGTTTCTCTGAAAATACATTTCACCTCTCTCATTTTCTCTTTCTTTTTCTTCCTCATGCCTACGCTTTTTAGAGGAAAAGTCCGGTAAGAAATAAGTCCTTTCCACATTTTGGCCAAACATGACTTCTGTTCATTTTCATCATCTGCATAATGACTGACTGTGTTTAACACCTAAACAAGATTTTGAATTTTAAAAACAAACCTTTGTGAACCAGGACAAGGTCTAGGAAGTTGGTTGCTAAGTGATTTTACAAGTCCGTTATGAAGGGCCACAGTGTAATTTTGTGAAGATTTCACCTCTGCCTCCATCACAGGCATATGATTAAATATTTAAGGTATTGAGTTTTATTTTTTGCATTTTCCACCTGGATTAGTCAAGCTACTTATACATACTGTGAGCTAGGCAAGCCTTCTTTTAAGTTAATTTCTTGTTTAATGCACAACATGATAGCATCCATGAATGAAGGCCTGTGAAGCTGGCCTAGAAGAGGGAAGTTGTCTTTCTTCTTTTGTTTTTCAGCTAATCAGAAAAATATCCCCTTCTGGAGTTGTCAAAGAGACAGAAAAATAAGATCTTTATAAAGTGCAAAGCAACTCTTTCACACTCCTTTTTAGTACCAGTGGGTGATTTTTAGTGGCAGCACAAATCTACTATGATGTACCTACATTTTTTTTTTAATTTTAGGACAACAATGAAATAGATCTACTAAAAAAAAAAGGAAAAAAAAATTCAATGTTCTCTTCTCAGTTACCTGGTATATTGGGAAAGTGTTCCCAGGATGCCGATGCTTGGCTGACACAGGTAACCTCTCCACCGAAAATCATGGAAATACTGTGTTTCCATGTTAACGAGCACCAAGGAATGGTTGGTGGTTGGTTGTACTTAACTCACCTAAGTGGATGCTGCAGTAAATTTGTCATTCTGTCCATTGGCCTCTGCCTGGTGGTCTCCGTACCACCTGCAGGATACCCGACCTGTGGCAAGTCCGTGTGATAGGAAGGAGGAGAAGTGGAAGACACAGAAGAACAAAAACGGGATCAAAATACTAAAGTACATCAAAATACGAACCCAAAGTCTTTTGGTTTCTAAAGATAAAATAAACACATTATTATTATTATCACTATGGCTACTACTAAATTGAATGGCCCACTTCTGAGTAACCACGAGTCACCTACATATCACGTGCTATGTGGCATACAATTTTGTTGGTGTGCTTTAGTAGCCTTTCTTTATATTTTGCCAATTGCACTTATTCTTGACTCTGAATCTTTCTCTAACTTATCCAAATTTGACCACTTCAAAAACTGACTCAATTGGGTGGCCTGAAGTCTACCTCCAGGGCCTCAAAAAGGCACTGTTCCTCCTGGGTTTTCCCTTGTTGTCCTTACCGCAATTTTAACTGCAAGTAATCCTTGTCATTTTGATCTGTGTGTTTTTAAGGACGAGTCCTCCTCCCACTCCCTGGCCTCATTTTCCTTTGGAAATGTCCATCTTGTTGATTGCCCAATCTGGTTGAGTCTTAATGATTATCTTGGTTAGTAGCGGGCTCTTTGTTTCTCTTCCCAAATGGGGTTTCAAAAGATCATCTCAACCAAGTCCCATTGGACATGATAGATATTCACTGTACTCTGACTTGTAATGGGTACAGGAACAAATTTAAATATAAACAAACTCCTATAAGGGATGGGGGTAGAGGATAAGGCCTTGCCAGGTAGCTGGCCTTCCCCATCAGCATTTAAAAGCAAGTAAGGAAATGGGCTGGAATAAAAATAATACGCATAATGATCACATATTCTAATTCTTTCCTAGAAAATTCTCTAACATGAATCACTGAATTTGCTATGACTAGCCTATATAAAAATATTTTGTTTGGTGCTTGGTAGCTTTTCATGCATTTTCCTCTGATTCTCCATAGCACTGAATTTAGCATGTTGTAAAACTTCAAAACCTGAGGCTGACTTAGTGATTTTGATGAGCAAGACAGATTGGGTTTGGTTACTTCTTTTTATAAATATCTTAAAACACTTACCCGCATTGGCTAAGACTAAGGTATTCTAGTAGGCTGACTTAAAATTAATCCTTTTGTGCAAAAAATAACAAAGCAAAGCTGGTGTGGAATAAGGACACTGTAGAAACTATGAGGACATAGGCTGAAATATTATCTGAGGGAGGCATATTCCTATTGCAAATTATATACATTCTAGAAATACAACATGTTTTAGCAGAAGATCTTCATTCTAGTGACCAAATTATAAATTATTAGTGCACACCCACCCTGAAAATAACCTCAAGATATAAAGTAAGAGTTATCTCTTATTTGCACACCAAAATAGAAGTAGAGGGAATAATAAATATTTCCAAAACCTTTTCCAGAATGTACCAGAAGATCAAGAGAAATCTAGGAATTGAGCAATTAATATTTAAATAGGAGCTCAGGAGATTTGTTCAGAAAAGGAATAGACCAATTGCAAAGTCCCTGTTCAAGTAATCAGGTGAAGTAATAAGAACAGTAGATAAAATTTACTGAGAGCTTATTATATGTGATACAGATGTCTGCAATCAGAGACAAATTGGCCACCTGCTGATTCTGAACAACTGAATAAGTGTTTTGTTTGCTTGTGCAGTTAAAAACAACTTTAGCCCCATTTAAAAACCAGAATGTTTGAAATTAAAAAAAATATATCAGGATGTGCTGCTTCTCTCGACAACTCGATCTGGCAGCCCTAGGCCCAGATTTTTTGCAAGGCAGACATGGGTGCACTTGAGTAGTGTTGAGTTCCCCAGAGCTTTGTGAAAGACACATGCCTTTACCAATAGCATCCCTCTCCTTGCCCTGTACTCATCTGAGTTTGTCACTCAACGCGTAGTGTTCAGCTTACAGAATATATCAAGTCCGGGGCCACCTGGGTAGCTCAGTCAGTGAAGCATCTGATTCTTGATTTGGGCTCAGGTCCTGATCTCAGGATTGTGAGATTGAGCCCCACCTTGGGCTCCATGCTGGGCATGGAGCCTGCTTGAGATTCTCTCTCTCCCCCTCTGCCCCTCCCCGCCCTCACCTCATGCTCTCTCATGCTTTCTCTCTCTCAAAAAAAAAAAAAAAAAAAAAGAATCTAAACTAGAATGTACCAAGACCTGATACAGATGACTTTCCTTCCACCTTTGAAGCAAATTCTATATATTGGTAGAACAAAGATAAAATGCTAAAGGCTTCAAGGATCTTGGAAAATGAGAAGGAGTAAAATAAAAAATAGGTAAAGACTTTCCTTTCCTGGCTCTTACAGATTTTGCTGTCAAAATTGTTGTTCAGGGTGCCTGGGTGGCTCAGTTGGTTAAGCGACTGCCTTGGGCTCAGGTCATGATCCTGGAGTCCCGGGATCGAGTCCCACATCAGGCTCCCTGCTCAGCAGGCAGTCTGCTTCTCCCTCTGACCCTTTTCCCTCTCATGCTCTCTATCTCTCATTCCCTCTCTCTCAAATAAATAAATAAAATCTTAAAAAAAAACCAAAATTGTTGTTCAGCAGAGCCTATAGCTGCTTATGCACCTTAATGGTGATAAATAACATATATGGAGCCCTTCAATCTGATGTGTAGAATTCTTTTTCTTTTGAAGGTTTCAAATAGCTCTTAATTATGGACTTTGAGGATTTCTGGGTCTGAGCTCTCCACAGCTTCTAGGTGGGACTTCTGGGTTCATGCTGTGACTGCATGAATTTGAACAGCTTTTCCCAAATGAAGGCATTTTGCAAGTGGAGTTTCCAAAATGCTATCTTTTTTTTAATTCAAATTAGTTAACATACAGTGTAGTATTGGTTTCAAGAGTAGAATTTAGGGATCCAACACTTACATCTAACACCCAGTTTCATCCCAATAAATGCCCTCCTTAATGCCCATCACCCATTTAGACCATCCTCCCACCCACCTCTGTCCAGCAAGCCAAATGCTATCTTATGATGTTGGCTTTTGCTAGAAAAAAAAATACAAACAGGAACTGTTCATTAAAAATATAGGTTTTTAAGTCATTGGAGATTAAAATATGGCTTAATTTGGGTAGATTGATATAACTTTAATTATTCTGAAAAGTGTTCTCTCCTCTCTTAAATTAATAAAGTTTCTTTGAATTTAAGGTTCTGCCTCTATATGGGTATGATCTGCATTTCATTTTGCATTACTTTTCATAATTTCCTCTTAGGGAAATTTGTGTCACTTTCATTCCTCTCTTTGCTGTAGTTTATGCTACTTTTAAAAGTGATTTGTTTGCCATGAGATTGAAGCTAAAATCATAAATTCCCACATTTTCTTCTTAGAGAAGAATTTTAGTCTGGTCATTAAAAGAATTATAAAGTCTAAATGTTCATTTAAGATAGTTAATTCCTCTGAAAACATAGTATGAATTAGTAAAATAATTTAAGCCCAGAAATACATATTCATAAATGGTTTTTTTCTCTGATTTAAATAAATTACATCCACACATATCAACAAAGGTATAAGAAAGGTGGGAGCAATAGAGAATAGAACCTGGAAAATCAGGCAAATGAGAAAGTCTAAAATATTAGAAATAAAATTGACTAGAGTAAATAGTTCCAAAATAATGAGTTCTGTTATACAACATTCAAAACAGGAAGTAACCATTCATGGTTCTCTGCTTTAGGAGTCCTCCAACAATATAATGTAAGAATGAGACCAGAGATCTAAACTCTGTCTCTGGTTCTACACATTCACTAGCTGTGGGTCTCAGAGACTCACTTCCCCCTCTTTATCAATAGGCCATTGGTCCAGATATGCTTGGAGGCCTCCCAGGTATAAAACACTAGAGGCTTGTTTCCTGTCTATGTTCTAGAGTAAAACAGTCCTTCTCATTTGAGCAACCTTCTAGAGACTTACGTGCTTGTGCTCCTGGCCTGGATTTGGGGATTGGGGCAATACTGGGTCCCAGGTAGCCTTTAGGAACTTCGTGGGGTAGCCCATATTTTGAAAACAAAACTCTAAGCAACATCTCTTTCCCCACTCACATGATAGTCACTCTTGTTACTTGCTACAGAAAAATCCTGAAGAGGGAGAGTAATCAGAGATTGTTGGGGTAAATTGACAGCAGCCATAATCCAGGTGTGAGAAGTGAAAGAGAGAAGTCATATGTCTGCTCGTTGTGTTCTTCCAGACATCATCTGGTCCACCATTGTTCTACTGATGGTGGACAGTTTGCATTATTGCTATCTGTCCTTGTCAGGGGCTCCTCGTCTTCCTCATCACATCCCTACCCTTTGGTAGAGGCTGCCCAAATCACCAGGCCAAAAAAATTTCCTCATCAGCATTCATTCCATAGTACATCAAAGAGAAGAGCCAGCAAAGAGGTCTTTCTACTCCTGCTCTCTGATTTGGGGAGGCTCCAATTTCGTCCAAATTATGTGGGAAATGAATTATGTTTATGGCATTTGCTAACACCCCGTTGTGTGTGGAAATACTTTTCTCTGTCATACCTAGTCTCTAAAACCTCCTCCCCAAATAATCTGGAGAGAAATTCCTTATGACAAAACATTAAAAGCTGTCAGTGAAGTTTTCTTGGAAGTTTCTTTCTTGTTCTTGTATGCACATCACTGAAATAGTACACCCCATTAGCAAAGCTATATTATACCACAGATCGCTTCTTTTTAAGGTTCTCCAAACTTCCTTATGGTTTAAATAAGCCACAGGCACGATGACTGCCTGTTTTCCTTTGGCCTGGTTACTTAAAGAGTGTATGTTTGGTTGGCTGTTTATGAAGTCCTCTATTACCCAAGCCTGTTGACTGATCCATCATTCTCTGACTAGGTATCTGTTCTCTCTTCCTTTTTGCTGATCACAGAGGCGCAGTCCGGTAAGAACCCTCAACATTTTTATCTTAAACATGTATAGAGAAAATTGTTGCCAAGGCAAGGTAGCCAGGTTTGGATTCCCCATTAAATTTCTGATAACTCAGGATGAATGAAGCAGATGAATTAGGTTTACTGGTTTGAAGCCTCTGGTCCTATAAGCATCAAGAGCATGTTTTAGAATTATCAGAACACTTTTCCATAACAAACTAAATTAATACATAGATATCCCAACCCTAGTGCTAAATTTGAAAAATGTGTGTGTGTGGGTGTGTATGGTGTATATACAAGGCCTGGAGGTTGGCCAGAAAGCACATAGAAGTTTACAGCAAAATGACAATAAAAACTAGAAAACTATAAGGAAAGTAAGGAAACAATTTTTAAGCCACATTGTTTTTAAGCCCAAATTTAAAATAAGTTCCTGGACCATAATTTACATTGGTCAGTATACTGATATACTGATATTACATAATAATATAGAATCATAATTTCCATCTTGGGAGGAAGAGACATGTTTTCAGGTCAATACTCCTAGACTGTCACATAAATCTATTATTTCACCACCGAAGTCGAATCAGTATTAGTTTGCATTGCTCAAAGTGAAATCCCAGTCATTTTTCTCAGGGTGAAGAGTCTGATGAATTTAAAGCAACAAAAGGAAGGGTCTTTACTATGTTTGAAATGACCTCCCCTCTGCCTTGAGAGAGGAAATAGAACTGAAAACAATGCCCTCAGAAATGCCCTCCATGGGCATATGCCGATTTGATTAATCATTATGTGAGGCCACTAGTCTGCCCCAGCTGACAAGCTGGTGGTTCTCTGTTTACACCATATAGCCAATGATCAAAGACAACACCTTCAGGGACTGCTATTCACATGTGGATGATTCTCCCCAGCAGTTAGGCCACATGTCAGAGTATGACAAGTTACTCTTTTTTTTTTTTTTAAGGAAAAAGAGGAAATTAATTCAAAATGGAGGTGATTGATTCACAACATACATGTAAGGACAATCATTGAAAAGAGGAAAAATGTGGTCCTTTGGAAAGGAGACGATTTTTTAATTCAATGGGCTTTTTCCTGACTGGTTTGTGTGGTCGACATAACCTTGACCTTGTTCTAGATTTGCCATACTGCAACTCCAGGCCATCAGAGAGCCATGAGCCAGATCCAGCTGACAAGGGCGATTTTCTTGTCTGTTGCTGCTGACTTCCTGCTGATCATTCATATTATTTGTTCCTTTCTAAAGTGATATTATTTTATTCTTCCTAATCTCTCAACAACAGAGTTTTCTTGCCATATCTTGCTTGCACTGAACCGGTGATTGTTCATTTATGAGGAGCATTTAATAAGAATGTTACCCGGCCTTCTTGCTTAGCGCCTCTCCACAGTAAACACCTAGTGAATGCATGGATACACCTGGAACCAATAAGTACCAAATAAACCTTGTACCTTCTCTGGCTTCATAAGTATTACATTTTTAATAAAGGGGGTAAGATAGCCAAAAGATCTTCGATAATCTGGGGTCCCCTATCTCTTGGGTTTCAGGTCTCATAATTCTAGATGGATCCCATTCCCTCACGGCTAACCTTGTGATTGACGATTTAGAAGTAGAGGCCCTGGTATTTTTATTACACACCCATAGAAATCTGACCATCTGGGGCTCCGAAACCTAGAAAAACATTTTAATTCCATTTAGACGATTTGTTCTATTTTTGTCTACAGAGCCTTATTTTCCAAAAGCCAGCCTGTATCCAAACTCCCATGCTAATGACCGTAGCTGATTTAAATGACCATATTTAATTTAAATGCTTATTAATTTAAATAAACATGTTAACTTAAACATATGAATTTAAAATGTGTATTCATTAAAGTAAATAAAATAAATATCTATTTTAAAAATCTTTACTAATAATGGGATAATTCTCTATAATGGCACAGACACACCAATTTTGTTATTAGGCAAGACAAGCCAGAACATATAGTTCGAAAAATTAAGCCATTCACTAGAAAACATCTAGTGAATTCTTGCTCAAATTGAAACTGCCCTTCTATTGTAAATGAGTTCAAAATGAGACAGGAAGTTCTGGTAAGTCCTAGGAAAGAAGGTAAGAAGTTTCTTCCAGGTCTGTTACAGAGGCACTACATCTTGTCCTGTGTTGTTAATGTTATCATGTGAGAGAAGAGAACGTACCTGCGACCCCCCACTAAGCACATGGTCACACCCTCTGAAATATTTCCCTATACTTGCCCTTTCCCACCCCCAGCACTGGCCCTGCCATTCTCTTAAGGCAGGCCCTCTCCAGCCATGTCCCACCCCATGATGCCACCCTTCCAGTGCTCTCCTTTTCTGGTAGCACCCCATGCTAAGAAACTTCAGAGTAGTTTTGAATCAGTTTTTTTATCTAATCAATCTTTCTGTGATGGAAATAAATTTCTGCTAAGGTATTATAAAAGCGAGGCATGACCTTCTCAAATAACTCCTGCCAGGGCTCTTTGTATTCCTACAGTAGCACAATGCCTTGAGCTAAAGGAATGACTTCCAGGTGGCAGAGAGGTGGGCCCTGTTGCAGGCAGGGGGAGTAAATTGGGGTGGGGAGGGCACCTGGGGAGAACAGAATTCCCTGGCCTCCTGATTACAACAGCCCGTCCAGGGGCAATGCCTCCAAGTTTTCCTTCCCTTTAACATTTGTTGCTTAGATCTTTACAAATTACATTAGTAAAATAATGACTGTTTTTACTGACAATTCAGGGACCGCCCCTACCCTGATAAAAGCAGACAATACTCCTAATACATTCTATAATTTTCAAACATATGTTAAGCTTGGATTTAGTCCTCTGATAGACTTCAAGGTTTGTTTTTTTTTTAAATAGACGATTCAATGTTTGCTTAATTTATCAAATCTACCCAGGTAAGGGGTTTTTCTGGTTCAGAGACTTATGATTTACCCTCCCTTTCTCTCTATAATCCTTGAGTAAAACGAAAAACTGATTTATATGTGTTTGTCTACAATTTCCAACTTGAATGCAATTCTGAGAAAAATCTCATTTTTCCCCATCTGTATTTCTGAGTTCAGTTGAATTGCAATGATAGAAATATACATATTGTACATAACATATATGTGGTCTTAAGCCTTATAGTGTCTATTTCTAATTCTAGGGTGCAATTAAAAGGAACTTATCCAGTAAGTATATCCTAGCTACCAGAAATAGAATAAATTTTAAAAGAAGAAATAGTTCCTTGGATCTTGGAGTATATATATATATATATATATATATATATATATTTGCATTATACACTCTTGGGCTTGATTTTTAAGGCTCATGAATACTTTACTTTTACAGCAAAGAAATTTTGTAATGATAAAGGGGCCTCATGGGTTCTGAATGATTAATATTTAAATTCTGAAAATGAGTATGTTTTTGGAAAAGCATTGCTATCTTCTTCCTTTATTTATCAACCCTTGATGTATCATTTGCCTTTAAAAATGAATTTAATCAAGTGTGGATTTGTTGAGGGGGGAGGGGGGAGGAGAAGGGCAGAAGGAACTGAAGGTAGATGCAACTAACCCATTCATAATGTTATCTGATATAAAAATTGTAGTCAACCAAAGTGATATGATACAGGTTATAATTTACGTAGGGCATGATTTTCCTCTGTGGCATATAGCACATTCTAGCAAATTCAAATTCATATAACATTTTCTTGGCATTTCAAGAAAAGAACAGGCAAAGAATGCTGGATTCCTGTACTATGTGCATATGGCCTGGCTTAGTATTCTCTTATGGTAATTGGAAAGCGGAACTGCTCAAGGCGGCAGACATTTGAAGAATGGTAGGCTACTCCGCTAAACTCTGCAATATACAACTCTTCTGTGTAACAGCTTATCATGGTAATTCCTTGGTTAATTAGGCTTTACAAACGCCAGATCAAATGCTACTACATATGTCTGATATATGGCTGTTAAATTGCAGGGTAGAGGGTTTGTTTTGCAAAATTTTCATATTGAGTTGCTTATTGATGAGACTTAAATCTCTAAGTGTTTCCAAACATAGCTCATAAGACATATCAGGAAGGAATAGTAAAAAGTATGCCTAAAAGCTTTCTTTGTCCTGTACATCAGGTGAAGAAGTGGCAAGACCCAGGCGTTCCACACCAACTCCAGAACTTATAAGGTGAGCATGGAAGGCGTTAGTTGTGTTTTATGTAAGGCTTCATGCAGTGTTAACAATTCAGCAAATCTCCTTTAGGCTGAACCCTCAACTTCTATTAATAACGGCGCTGTTCATACGTAAGTCCATAGCATGATTCAAGTATGTTATCATTTCTCACAAGTGTAGCCTGAGGAAGATCCTTAGGGGGAAGAACTGTAGAGTCATCTCTACAGATAGTGACTGTCTATCAGAATGTGCAGGCCCCTCACTAATGGGAGGGTTAAAGTCTGTATGAAGAGGACTTTTGGTGTTTGCAATGCTGATCTGATACATGATTATATTGCCCTATAAAGAATAACCTGTTCAGTTGGATCCAATTTTGTGATGCATTGCACCTGTCATACACCAAAAGAATCTTCTATTTGTTTTTTTTTTTTTTGTCTTTGACAAAACATTGTATTTTTGCACCGTGTATCCTTTGGGTTAAGTACTGTACAAATGGGCATTGTTTTCCCAAAAGACTACTATTTCTATTTAAAAGGTGGATCTTTTTCATTTTCCCTCCTTCTCCAGCCCGACTCCCCCTTCACCTCTTACTCCCAGTACACAGACACACACACAGACACATACACACACACACACAGAGAGAGAGAGAGAGAGAGAGAGAGAGAACTCATCAGGATTAATGAGGGGGTTCAGGTCTGGGAAGAAATGAAGATTATGCAGCCTTTTGTTAATAATCAGTTTAAGTAATAATTAGGAGAAAAGTTAAGATTTTAACTTATTCCCTCCTTTCCCCTTGATTTCTCAATGTTCTTTTTCTGAGATAAGCTGTGTTTAAGGTATTAGGAGGTTATAGCTAGTCTATTGTGTTTGTTGGTTGGGGAGACAGGTTGGAAATTAGAAACTAGTAGACCTAGTTTCTGATTCAAACACAAACTTCCTGGGTGGCTTGTCATTTAACCTCCCTATACCTGACTTTCACTAGTCACCAACCGCATTAACTACAATACAGAGATGTGATGAAGACAAATATAAATGGTTTTTGAGATCCAAAGAGACTAAGGTGCTTTGCAATAAACTGTTATCTCTAGTATTATCTCTTCTAGGTATAGAGAATCATGATGATTTGAAAGAGTTTTTCTTTTCCAACTCATTTCTATTGGGCCATCTCCTTGGTTTCCCACTGAGAACTGGGGATCTTATCTCCTACTGATTCTCTTGGTCCATAATACATTTGACATTTTTACGTATACTTTCTAGCCCCATGGGATCTTCCATTCATGCCTTTGTACACACACATCTATCTGCCTTACCATGAAAAATACTCGAAAGCTTGTATATCTTTTTAGCATTAATATTCCCTTTCTCTCTGTTTTGTTTTAATCTGTGTGATTTAGCAAAAAGCCTACAGATGACACGATGGCCCTTGCTCCCCTCTTTGGTCCACCATTAGAATCAGCTTTTGATGAACAGAAGACAGAAGGTAGGAAAAGTGTGTATCTCTCTAGATTTTTTTCTTTTCATTGAAGTATAACTTGCCTTGAGCAAAGGTATGTGTTTTGAGCCATGTACCATCAGATCCTCAAGGGAAAGAAAAGTTCTGATCTAGGTGTGCTGTTGGAACAAGAGTTTCATTTGAAAACCTCCAGTATTTTAGGATTTGCAACTTTACTTCCGGAAATATCAAGTAGCTAACAAGTTCACTCCTCAAAAGCGGTAGGTAAGAATTATTGCAAATGGATACAAATCACTGGAAATAAGTCAGGGAATAAGTGCTCTGTGAGCCAAATGGTCATCATGGTGGAGCCAGACCTTCACACTCCCTGGCAGAGTCACTGTCACGGTGATCCAACCTCCCCGACCACATTTACTCTCTTCTCCACCTGGTTGGTGGAAGTGTCAATTGGATTGCTCACAACAGACTTGTTTGCAGGCTCGAGACCCAGGAATGACCCTGAATCATTGAGCAACTTACAAATAAAGTGTTGCAGAAAAAATATCAATTCAGCCATTATTATTGGGTTTACCTACTAAATATTTACTCCTAGAATGAAATATTTAACTTTTTAAAATTAACCATCTTTTTCAGATGGCTATAGATAGTATATACCTTGCTTGCAAAAATGAAGCTCCTTATAAAAGGGATCCAATCTATTCCTGAAATGTATTTATGCCCAGTGCATGTATCTCTGGTATCTGTGTTTGGTAATACGGAATATTTTTTCTGAAAAGTCATTTGATCTAAAAACGCTGTGGTATGTGTATAATAAAATGTTATTTTTTACACTGTTGGTCGAAGAAATCAAGTTTAACTGTTAAGGACAACAGGGCTTGAAAGCATAATGAGTAGACTGCACTACAGTAGCAAAGAGACTCCAAAGTACAGGGACTTAAACAATATAGAATTTTATTTCTGTTTTATGTCAACAATCTCAAGGTAAACAATATAAGACTGGTAGGGTGGGTCTGCTATTTTTTTTTAAATTTGATTTCATATGGATTTTTTTTTAATTTTATTTATTTATTCATGAGAGACAGACAGAGAGAGAGAGAGAGAGAGAGAGAGAGAGGCAGAGGGAGAAGCAGGCTCCCAAGGAGCAGGGAGCCCAATGTGGGACTCGATCCCAAGACCCTGGGATCATGACCTGAGCCGAAGGCAGACGCTTAACCATCTGAGCCACCCAGGCGCCCTGGGTCTGCTATTCTTAACATGTGGCCTTTGTCTCTGGGTCCAGAGGAGCTGGTCCAGCTCTCATCATCTCCCAGTCAGAATAAAGTGGGGAGGCGGTAGGGGACAGGGAGGGCTAGTATACTCACTGCCAATTCCTGTGAGGGCAAAATCTGCAAGAGACATATGTCACTTTAGCCAGAGCCAATCAGAGAGAATTTAGTGCCATCTGGCCAGCTAGAACTTTTTAACTGAGGAGAAATGGAGAATGGATACTGGAAGAGAGCTAGCAGTCAACCGCATCAAAATATTTTTCAATAATTAAGTTAGGAAAATGCATAAGGAACATCCCTAAATTGCTCCTTCAGGGATTTGAATGTCTACAACTTAGAATCCCTAAGTAAAGGTGGCCTTGCAATGAGTCTGTCAGTTGTCTTACTAACTCAACTATGATCAAGTTTGTTTTTTTAATGACTAAATTGTGTAATGACTAAAGGTGGGGTTTGATTTGTTGCCTCTGCATCTAACTATTAAAGGAATTCCATGACTGTATGGAAACTTGATTTACAAAATAGAAAACAGTTTTTAAAAAATCAAGGTGGTGTCCCACATCAAATCCATTAAAAAAAAAATGCTGCTTCACATCTTTGGATAACATTTGCTTTCATGTTAAAACAGAACTAAGAGCATCTTTGGGTTTGTGATGGAGAGGAGATACACAACTGAATTTGTCTATGAGCCTGGCTTGCTTTGTCTTGAGGCGGTTTCACCCCCAAAGTTCTATAAAGTTCCAACCTTTGCACCAAGCACACTAGCTCTTCCAATATCCACACTTACCTTTCAGATCAACTCACTCTCACTTCTTTTTATTGATTCTCCCATCAGTAATTTAAAAGGCCTGGGGGGAAAATATGTATTTTGGAGTTAGGTGTGCATGCCCAGGATCAGATCTTGGCTCTTCTACCTCACCAGGTAGCTCTTGGGCATGCTATTTAATCACTTTAATATTTGCTTCCCCTGCTGAAAATGGTACTAATATCAACCACCGGGCGGTGTTGTACGGATTAGAATATTTACTAATAGCTACTGACCTTGGGATAAGTGTGTTATATGGATTTTGTATGCCTTGTATTTATTTGTATTATCTCCTGTGATCCTTTTAGTAACTCTCAGATTGCCCTTATTACCTTTACACCGAAGGAAGGGAAGCTCAGAGGTGAAACCACTGGCCCAAGGTCCTACAGTCTTAACTGTAAAGACAGGATTCAAATTCACATCCCACTAACTTCCCAGCCTGTATTTTACAACATAATGAATTACAAGCAGTACTTATATAGATCCTGGCACATGATATGTGCAGAGAAGATCTGGTTGTTTACATTGCATTGTTACCATAGCAATAAAAAAAAAAAATCTAAACAAGGAAACAGAAGAAATAGAAACAAATTGGGTTCAGTATCATTAGGCCCAATACCTTATTTCTCTGATTTACTTTAAGTGTGGAAACTCTTATTTATTTTCTGGTTCTCTTAAGATATTTACCAAACATTTTTAGAATAATGTCATTTCTCTTTTTGATGCTGTTAAAGGCTTATTTAAAGACCCTATATGATCCTTTAAAGCTATGAACCACTCTACAGAACCCAGGAATTTTCATTTCTGTAACCTATTCACACCAAACTTTAAATAAACCAACTTGAAATGACTGTCCATGGGATTAACGCCTGGATCTTTAAATGGGCACCAGAAATAGAACCAGTATATGTACTGACATTCAGAATGTCCTTAAGTGACCAACCAGGAAGAAAATACAGATGCTCTCTTTTGAAAGTTTTTATTCAGCTATGTGTGCACACACTGACACCCCTACCATCACCACACACACACACACACACACACACACACACCACTGCCATTTGCATTCTTTGCTTGAAAAGCATGAGGAGTAGCACACTTCTGAATTACTTTGCTAGGACTGAGGCAAGAGGGAGATAATTTTGCGAAGCTCAACTTTAAATTGAAATTTTAAGTTCTAAAATCCAGGAACGTTTCTTTTTTGAACTCACCCTGGGAAATTTTCTTTTATGTTTCCAGTTCTTTTAGATCAGCCTGAGATATGGGGTTCAGGCCAACCAATTAATCCAAGCATCGAGTCGCCAAAGTTAACAAGGCCTTTTCCCACTGGAAGTAAGTTATGTGTCTGCTGTGTCTGGAAAAATAAGTGACTCATTTTACTGTCTGTCTGCATAGTGAAATTAGGCAACTTGTAGAAAGTACGTAAGCAACATTTGGACTATATAATATTAAGAAAAGATGTGATTCTAATAGGCTTTAGACTTAAAGGGACATAGGGCAGTTTGTCAAGGCAAGAATAATATAATAAAGTAAAATTATTGACTTTGAATCATAGCCTCTTCTGACATCCGATAGGCTCATTCATTCATTCATTCATTCAATATGCACATATAAGAGGGAGAAGCAAGGAAGGGAAAGAAACCAACCATGCTCCAGGTACTGGGCTATCACACAACACAAAAGTGAACAAATCAGATAGTCTCTGTGAGTCCTACAGGACAAGGAGGGTGCATGGGACAGAAAGGACACATTGAGATGAAAGAAGGATAATTGGAGAGCAAGAGAAATGATGCTGTTTGGTGGGAAGCTGAAACAGGAGGTCAGGGCAAACTTGTCTCAAATCAGGGGCTGCGAGCACTGCTCTTCCAGCACGCCCCCCACTTCCTCCTGAAGATGCTCTTCACCTGTAGTGGGTTGGACTATTTGGCCTGAATGGATTCCTCCTTTGGTCAAGCCACCTGCTTGATGTATTTCTTGAGTTCTCATTTCATTGGACTTCCCATAACGTATGTGCTTGTGGAAAGCACTTGTTAAAATGCCTATGGGAAGAAGACTGGGTCTCGGAGAAAGGAGTTTGGGGGTGTGGTGGGATGCAGAGAGTATTTTTGTTTTGTGAAGCTTACGTACACACCAATTAATACTCTTCCAGTTCAGCAATCCCAGGGTTCTACTTTATGGGGCCCAAAAATAATCATCGGAATTAACCAAGGGGATTCCTGATCAAAGGCCCATGAGGTTGTTTGCTGGAGATATTGCTATAAAACCATGTGATCCGGTCTTTTCAAAGATATTTCTCTCATAAAACAGGACAGGAAAAACAGCATCACCAATAACTATTTTAAGCATCTAAACTTTTCAAAGATGTGCTTTGAAAGTATATGAACCCCATTGGGGTGACTTTGAATGATTCTCTCTACTACTGAGAAACAAAGCCAGCAAAAAACTCTAACTTCCTTGAAAAGCTTTCTTGAGAGACCTGAGCCACCCAGATTATTCCTAGAAAACCTTTGCTAGATGCCAAGAAAGGACATAAATGAAATGTTTATGTAGATGATGTATTGATTTTAAGACCAATAATTGGCATTTTCGAGTTTTCTGATTTTATGTGGTGTGGTTACACTTAGCACAGCAAAGGCTGTTGTAGAATCGATGTGTATTGGATAATTTTGTTCATTTCGCGATTGCAGCATAAGTTTGCTACTTTAGATTATTAGGCTTTTATGGTGTTTTATGTGTTTTTGTTGATTATGACCTTAATTTTTGCAGAGAACCTTAGCCAGAAACAGAGCCCCTGATTGACTCTTAGCTTCTACGGAAAAACATGATCCATTTGAGGTGTAGTTTTCAGAAGCTCATAACTAAGATTAGGAGCCACATATTTCTGGGCTTTAGGAAGATAGCTGTTAGTCATGCCTCTTGTGTAGAAAGACAGGATGCTTTCTAAAATTAAATGAAGTCAGGTGGGGGTGGAGTGACAGAAAGGGGCTCTTTCTAGTGCAGGCAGGCAGAGGGTACTGCCAAGCTCTCTCCAGCCAGCGCCCAGCTGACCCACTCTGCTTCTGGGTCATGGAAGTTTGGACAACATTCAAGATTCACAAATGAACTTGAGTCTGGTTTATGAGACTAGTGTGAACTCTTTGAATCTACCAAACGTAGCCAGCGACAGGAAAACATGCATTTAAAGAGAGAATAAGAAAAAAAATGTACCTGTTGATACAGTAATCCCTAACCTTGCCCACAAAATGACAAGTCCAGTTCAGAAGGCTGAGTCTCTGGGCTGGGGCCGTAAGACAATACTTTTTCTTATCTCAGAGGGTTTGGTTCACCATCATTTTTACCAAGAGAATCTGTATATTTTCTCTTGCCCTCAATCATATTGCTTCAGACTTTCAAAAATATACTAAAAGTTAAGATGTATAACTTTGAGACATCTTTCCAGAATCCATCTAGGCAATACTATCTTGACTATATTAAAAACCCCTCACCCGAGCCTCCACCAAGACATTCTCATTCCCTTCACCACACCCTGGATTGTGATCATCTGTTAACATGATATTCATTCATTCAATCATGAATTCCTTGAGGACAGAGGCTCCTTTTATTCAACCCCATGCCCCCAGTTCCTAGTACGACCTAGAACTTTGCCGGTGCTTGAAGTTCGTCAAATAAAGGGATGAATGAATAAAATGATGACATTATTATTGTTATCATCTGACGTCCTTCTGACGGATTCTTATTATCATAAAATGGACGAATCTGAATGGGTCCTGCTTCCGTTTCTTAGCTCTGAACTGAAAAAAATTTAGACCATTAATGGTTATAGCATTTCCAATAGCAGGAATATGAATGAAAGCCCAAATCCTGCTTATCTACAGAATATTTGTAACTTATGGAGAAAGTGATCGATGATGCTTGGTTTCTGTGTCTTTGCAGCACCCCCACCACTGCCTCCCAAAAACGTACCAGCCACCCCACCCCGAACGGGCTCCCCGCTCACAGTTGCACCAGGTAAGCTTCAGGTTTTTCAGTACTGGGATGATAACAGCAATCAGCAGTGGCCCTGGACCTCAACCAGCCCTGGACATGTCAGGAACTGTAGAAACTCAAGCATGAAAATGTTTGCACTGGGTTTTCCTTCCATGACAATTTACTATGCAGACTTATTTTAAAGTCTCACTCTCAGGTTTCACAAAAAGTTTCACTTTCTCAATTCCTTTTTCCTCTGTATCATTTTGTTGAATGAGGGTCACATTTACTTGTGAGATGAAAGAAAAAGAAAATCTCAATATCAAAAGTCTTTGTCTAATTGGCCCTTCACTCCGTTGGATCTTATGTTAATGATTTACGAATTAAAAAATCTCAAGGCACAATTCGTATTTTCCCAAGAACCGATCGTTTTTCTAGAATTAAAACTATCTGATCTACAAAGACATAGAATGGTTCCCAGGATGTGCAGCCTAAGCTTGGGAGGTGGGGAATTTTTTTTCCCAGGAATCATTATCCCATGGTGAAGAGATGTGTAAGGATAATGAAATATGGAAAAGAAATGCCACATGCCTTTAGACAGATCATTTCTAAGGCACATCTTTACCTTCTATTAAAATCAATATTACATATTCGTGCAATTTATAATCTACCTTGTCCTATTGGGCCAGCAAGTCAAAAGCTGTAATTGCTGTTATGTGTCTGGGCCGTTAGAGTATGGTTCTTTATCCCCTTTGGAATTTTATTGCTGCTTTGTCCTTTGCTATTTTTGCAGCCTGGTGAGTTTGATAGCTACAGAGTAGGTATTTATCAACAAGACCGAGTACAAGGCATGGTCATTTTTGAAATTTATATTGATTAAAACCCAACGAAGAATCATCCAGAGCATCATAGGTAAAGGTGTTTGCAAGTTCAAATCATTTTGGCTCCTTGTATTCCCATAAATATGTTAGATATAAATAAATCTACCAGCGACAAAATTATAAATAGTGTGGGACATGCAAACTGCTACCCCATTTATCTGTAGCCTTGGAGCCTTGAAGGTTAATTCTTTTCTAATGTGAAATATGGAAGTACTGAGGCAGCGCTTAGAGCCGATGAGTTATTTAAAGGTAAAGTTGCCTCTGCTTATGCTTTGCAATCATTCAGGGAACAGCTTCTAATTTCAATAACCTCAGTGTTTAAAAAGTGCACTTCCTCACATTGCAGTTGTTTTCAAGCATTTCCTGCCAAGCTGTAGAAGATAGTTTTAAATTTTTTTCTCTTATTACTGGTAAGAATTAGAAGAACTTATGCTAATGTTGAAGCAAAACCGAGATTTTCCGTTTCATGACTCCAGATAGATGTATATCACAGTTATACCTACGATGTTAACAGGTTAGACTTGATGGGAAAAGAAATTATAAAGATGTTTTGACAGTTTTCCTCCCTATTAAACAAGTATATACAAAGCAGTTCTGATAAGTAGTAGATGTCTTCTCAATAACCTGTGTGTGTTGTATGTGGGATGTATATGTGTATGTTTGTAAATACACGTGTGGGGATATTTCTTTAAATAACCATTGTACTGTGTTTCTGGTGTATTTAAGGTGGAGGATGTACAACTAATTATGATATAATAATTTTTTAAACTAAAAGATATTATTAGTCTCACCAAACATTTTAATATGCTAGAGCAATCTTTGTCAAATATGAGGGTGATTTTCAGCTATCAATTATTTTTCTACTGTGTTGTCTAGAGGCTAGACTTTCAGAAGGGACCTCCCTTTTGCGATTGCAGTTCCAGAGCCTGAACTCTGTGAACCTTTTCAAAGTGCAGCCTTTTCAAAGTGATCACCCTTTGCACTCTTGTGAGCAGACTTTGAGAACAGTAGCACGCTCAGCATTTTCAATGGTGGTAAAAATAGCTACCTGGGGTCACCTAGCAGAAAGGGCAAAATAACAGCATAAGAAGATGATGCTCACATTATGGAGGCAGGGAATGCTCTCCTCCCCTTCAGCTCTGATCCAGTTATTTTTACACCTCACAGGGCAATCTGTTTACTATTCTTTACCTCACCCCTCCCACCCCCCCAATACAAATAATATTCACCAAGTCAATTAAAGTTAAAAATCAACTACTTTAACTACAGGAAATGACCAGTCAGCCACAGAGGTCAAAATTGAAAAACTACCATCAATCAATGACTTGGACAGCATTTTTGGCCCAGTGTTATCCCCCAAGTCTGTTGCTGTTAATGCTGAAGAAAAGTGGGTCCATTTTTCTGATACGTCCCCGGAACATGTTACTCCAGAGTTGACTCCAAGGGAAAAGGTGGTGTCCCCACCAACTGCATCAGACAACCCATCTGACTCCCCAGCTCCAGGCCCCCCGGGCCCTCCAGGCCCCCCAGGACCCTCTGGTCCTCCTCGAAATGTACCGTCGCCGCTCAATTTAGAAGAAGTCCAGAAGAAAATTGCTGAGCAGACCTTCATTAAAGATGATTACTTAGAAACAATCTCATCTCCCAAAGATTTTGGGCTGGGACAGAGAGCAACCCCACCTCCCCCACCACCACCCACCTACAGGACTGTGGTTTCATCCCCTGGACCTGGCTCGGGCAGTGGTACGGGGACCACCAGTGGTACGTCTTACTGTTTGAGTGTGCTTCATGTGCCCGGGAATGGCCGTGGCTGCTGCAGTGTGAGCGACACCCTCCTCCTGCCTGGCAGTTGGCTTTAGAGCTTCAGCCATCCCTCCTCTGGTTTGGGTGTTCCGTGGCCCCATGGCATGTCCTAGTGCATCGAATGCTAACCGTCATAGTGCGAGTCTGTGATGTGCTCTGCCCTGCACTCCTAGTGCTCCTTAGGAGCGCCCTGCCTTCCACCTTGCAGTTAGGAAGTGCATATTTTTTAAAGGAAGCTGCTTTGTCATTGTTTGGAATTCAGGAAAGTTCTAGAAAGGCAGATTTCATAGCCAGTGAGTTTCATGCTGAGTGTCTCATTTCCCTGTCAGATGCCTGTACAAGAACGTTTTTTAGTTTGTTTTGTTTTCAGCTTTATTGAGATATCATTGGCAAAATTATGAGATATTTAAAGTGCAAATTGTGATGACTTGAAATATAGATATAGATGATATAGATATAGTAAAAGGTTTCCTCCCATCGAGTTAATTAGCACATCACATATTTACCTTTGGGGGGGTTGGGCAGGGGGAAGGGTGAGAACATTTAAGCTCTACTCTCTCAACAAATTACAATTATACGATATGGTGTTATCAATTATACAATACAGTGCTATAGTCACCGTGTTATGCATTAGATCCTCAGACTGTATTCATCTTATAACTGAAAGTTTATACTGTTTTCTTCCCAAGGATCCTAATTTTGGTAGGTAGGTCAATGTGTTCTTTCTTCTTTGACTTCTTTTCTTTTTCCTTTCTTTTTCGGTAGGGGCAGAGCCATGTTAACCCCTCTAATTACTTCAGAAAAAAAGAAGTAGGGTTTGAAAAGATTTTTTAGGGGACAGCAAATAGAATGTACCTTACTATATCCACGATATATCAAACTGCCACTGAAGACAAATGATTCTTTGATTTTATTTTGATAAGCTCATCAGCCTGTTAAGTCAACTCTAAGCATGGTGACAGGTGATGGAGAAGTCTAACAGAAATGGACATTTGGGACCCTCTATGCAAATGTTGATGTTGAATCTAACATTTTGGTTTTCCTTCTTTGAAACTTCATTTTATGTTCTCATCCTATAAAAAGATGGCAACAGCTGCCATGCACACCGAAAAAGATCAAGATTTTCTAATGTCTCTTCTTCCATATTTTTTCTTCTACTGGTGCTCACACTGATCTGGCAAGAACCCCCCTGCCCAAGTGCCTTCCTTCCTGGGCCTGTGGGTTCAGTTTAGGCACCTTCTGAGTTTTTTGTTTTTCATTTGCTTTGGAAGAGGTGACCAAGTTTATGCTATTTAGATCTAGTAAGAGACAGGAAGGAAAGACATTTGTCCCCACTCTAATAGCCACTTGAATAGTCCTCTTTCAATGGAGTATTTCAGTGCTTGCTCTGTGTTTGAAAATTCCTGTGCTTCAAGCATCCAATCTGATCAAGGAAAGGGCTGGAGAGTCACCTGTACCCAACACAAAACTGATGTTTTGTATGATTGCGTGTGCCCTAGGTGCCTTCCTCCACCAAAAAAGGAAAACTACTCAATACTCAAATAAATTTGGGGAACATTGTGTTAAAATAAAATCAGCAGGTTTCTTTACCATAGGACTTCTGACAGCCTTTAATTTGCCAATAATAACAGCTATAGTTTCTTCTCCTGGGTATCATCTTAATCCTTTGTGCACATCATTTCATCCTTAAAACAACCCCATGTGATAAATGCTCTCTTATTTCTATTTTACAGCTCTGTAAACTTGGGAAAACTGAAGCTCAGAGATGTCAAGTAATTTTCCCAAGTTTACACAGCTATGGGTGATAGACTTGGGATACTCAGTCATATTCAGGTCTGTCTGATTCTAAGCCTGTGCTCTTAACCCCGGAGCTCTCCCAGTACTCTTTTAAAGTTTAGTTACAAAATATCCCAAACTTATTTGACCACTGACACCCACCTATTCTGCCCTGTGTCATCAACAAAATCACCAACAGTTTTCTCTCAAAACCCACTCTCTATCCTCCTCTCCATAATTCTAGAAGGTTAGAGCACCCGCCTTCATCCTCTGCTGCGTTTTTAGATCATTTTGGGAATATAAGCCTCCTTACATATCTGTAAAGGTAATAAAAAGACCCTACCTAAAGCCTTCATTTCAAACTTCAAACCTGTCTACTGTCAAAGAGGGGAGTGCTTCCAGGGTCTTCTATGGTGCTCTCTTACCAGGGTGAAGCTCTTATCTTCTGAAAAGGCTGCTAGAGGAATAATCCCCTTGTTCCAGTGGTGGGCCACTGTGCTTTCCTCAAAATGAACATGTTTAGGTTGAGGAAAGGGAGGACAGGGCAGATCTGTCGCTCATCTGTTTCTTCCATCACTTTCCACGAGACTCGGGAAGACGTTTAATTGAATTGTCCACTGATCTAATGAGTGAAGAAGGGAGCCTTGGCTTTCTTCCTGAAATCTTTGAGAATTTTGTTGTCATCTCTATGTTTAGCTTTGTAAATTATTTAAAATTGTTTTTAGGTGTTACCAGTAAAGACTCTTGATTCTTAATAATTGAGCTGGAAAAAGACTATGCTTTGTGGGTAAAAGATGGGATTTCTAAGTGGAAGACTGAACTGGGTCAATGAAGCTCATGAATAAATAAAACTTTGCACAATTATCTCCTTAATTAAGTCCCAGTTTATTTGCCATTTAATGTTTTATTGATGGAATATACACAGACTAGCAGAAATGTATTTTAGAACAATGAGAGATGGCCTCATGTTTTAAAGATTAGCAATGCTTCTCAAGACCTCCTTTTTATAACACTTAGCCTGATGAGACTAGATTTTCCTGTACATCTCAAACTATATTTAACTGGGTACCATTATGCTCAATTTTAAAATTTCATTCACTTGATCACTGACCAAGCGTAGACAGTACAGGCAGCCTGTGAATCAGTTGGGTTACCTGATGTTGAAAAACAGTTGGATTCAGGATTTGCTCCAAGAACTTTGATTTCCTTATGGCAAAGTTATAAATACCTAGTTTGGCCAGAACTTTGCTTTATTGGAATGCAGATGACAATTCTCTTGGCAGAGGCCATTTCTTCTTCCTTGTGGGTGGTGTGCCAGGGAATGGGAAGGAGAAAGAGTTTTATTGGCCTGTAGAGACCAGGGAAAGAGAGATGTCAGTAAAGATAGAATGTTCAGTGCAACACTTTCCAATTTGAGAAACTAAGGCAATATTAGAAGATGTTATACACACACACACACATATTTATAAACAACTGGGTTTAACCTAAACAAATATATTTCCTAACTACATGTCTTTTAGAGTGGCAGAGTCCAATTAGGGAGGCCACTAGCCAGCAAAGAGAGATGGAAGTTGAAGCAATCATTATGGGGCTACCAAAAAAACTATGTTAGAACTTCGAGTTGAAGCAGCAAATGGACTGAAAGCACGTCAATGGCTGTCAACTTTTTTGAACTCACAAAACTCAAATAACATACAGGTGATTTTTAAAGTTAAACCTGAAACAGCAAATGTCCAGTTTTTTTTCCCAGCACTGCTCTTGGGAATAAACACTGCTTGTAGAAGAAATGAAAATATAAGATCAGAGAATGAGTTTAGAGATGTGCAAATAGTCTTCTACCCTCTTAGAATACGAAACAATTGTGCAGCCTCAAAAAAGCATGGGAAACCTCAGTTCACTTATAAAATCCCCCCCAGGCCCTGACTACCCTCTGCTGAACCTCAGGTTTTGTCAAGATGGTTTTGCTTCTTAAACGCTGCCCCAGTGTCTTTCTAACTGCACAACAAATCAATTAAATCAATCCAGTTAGGAAAAAGTGAAAAGAAGACAGTTAACTAGCCACTTTTTTCTTTGCTTTTAGTTGTGTCTGTATGAAAAGACAGTCTTTACCATCATCATCAACACCTATTCTCTTTTATTTGTGTATCATTTTATAGTTTACTAAACACTTGACAAGCATTTTCCATTTCGATTGTTACAACTACCCTGTAAGGTAGAAATGTTTCATTTCTGGCTCAGAGAAGTTAAAAATCCCACAGCCAATAAGAGCCAGGCAGGGCCAGAACTCAGCTCATCTGCCTTTTCATTCGGTTTTTCTCATTATTCCATACTGCTTTGCTGACAACCCCAATATTATCTTTCCCAAGCATTACTGACAGTGATTTTCAAAACTTTCCCTCTTAGAATACATAGAAAAAAGATAAGCAGCTGACCTTTTCCTGAGCTTGATTCAGAAGACTATTGGAAAAAGACCCACGGATAGATATTTTGAACCATCCCTATGGTGTGGTTTCCCAGTGAAACAGAACCTAGAAAGAGCCCCATGAAACTTCCTGACAAAGACTTTGTTGTTTAAAGGTTTATTTTCCATCTCTCTGCTGTTACTTCTGTTTCCTGAAAACATCCTGGGTGTCAATCTATTAAGTCAAAAGGAAACTTTGTAGTGGGACCTGTCAAAACATATCTTCTTTTTTTTTATTCAAGAAAAGATTATCCAAAGACTAAAAATATTTACATTGAGAGAGATGTTGGCAAGCTGCTGTTGCAAAAGTAAGAGCAGACTTTATGCAAAATGTGGGACTTCACATTCCATCTAAAGCTACAAGACACTGCATTTAAGAGCTTGAGCTTTGGAGTTAAATCAACCATCTGAGCTATGGGACCTTGAGTAAGTTACTCAATATCTCTGAGCTCTCATTCTGATTGAGGTGGTGAGGCAGTAGGGCTACGGATGGAGGTGGCGGTAATTTTAGCAGGGTTTCACACTAACGAAATTACACTTAGAATAAACAGCACAGAGAAACACAACGCACTCAATATTTCAGGTTGTATTTAAATAAGGGGAGCAAGGTTTACCCCCAGGGACTCTCCTAAGCTGAGAGCAGATTCCAAGATGATGGGTTTTGTTGTTCAACTTCAAAGCTCTTTGGGAATCTGGAGATCTGGAGATGGAGATTAGCAACTTGCTGATCTAGGTTTCTCCAGAGAACACAGTTTTGTGGCATGTTGGATGACAGGAGAGGAGTGGGCAGTTATTTTCCTGAGGTGGGATTTCTTAGAATGTTTTGAAATGATCTGATACCTGTGCTTCTAACCAAAGTGACAAAACCTCCGGAGTAGTTGGAACTTTTCTGAACAAGCACTGTTTGGAATATTGATCTGAATTTCTTCAGGTTTGGAGTCAAGTAGTTTATCCATGTACCCCAGACATCTGGCTAAGGATAGACCGACCCCTGAGTCTCGAGACCCTACTGGTGTGTTGATTAGTGTGCATGCCGACCTCTGTGTGTCTTCTTTGTTTCCCATGTTTGTCATTGACAGCCAGAAAAGTAAATCCAAGAGGCTCTTTTCAAAATCACCACAAAAATCATCATGGGCCAACTCTACATAGAATAGATTACTAAGCAGCCTCCTTCAAAAAATACAATCCTCTAAATTCAGTGTGATTCTGTTACTAAGATTCTAAATGCAAATTACTTGTGCAACATCTAATTTACTTTCTTATGGTTCCATCCTTTGCTTACCATCAAATGTTTACTTAGATTTATTAAAGTTAGCATTCATATTTTGAAGCACAGTAAAAAAGATAATTCTCCTATACATGTTTTTTTTTAAATATATATATGTATATATATAATGTGGAAAAATCATTCACCTTCCTTCAAGGTCTAACTTCCATTTCCATCTTGGACATTAATTCTGAATATGCAAAAACAAGAGAACTTATTATAAGTTTGGTGTGTATGTGGTCAAAATGAAAGGTCCTCACCACCAGGCTAAAAGTGTCCTAAAGCATATTTTCCATCACAGAGAATAATAAAAGGATTTACCTTTCACTGGGTGTCACATGACAACAAAAGGCAATAAGCTTCAGCTTCTGCCATCAGCTCTAGTTCAACTGAGTGATTTTTTTTTCTTTTTTAAAAAAAAAAACCACACACACACATACACACTAGATGCTAGAGTGTTGAGTGTACTAACTGCTGGGGTGAAGAAAATTGTCCGGGACTGGTGCTGTCCTGGGGGGGATGGGGAAGGAGGATTCCACGATGACAGCTCTTGGCCACGCATGGTTCTGGCCATTGTTAATACCAGCTTGTTTTTCAGGTGCATCATCCCCTGCTCGACCAGCCACTCCCTTGGTTCCCTGCAGCAGCACCACCCCTCCACCGCCTCCTCCCCGGCCTCCATCTCGACCAAAGCTACCTCCAGGAAAACCTGGAGTTGGAGATGTGGTATGTTCCCTTCTGCCCCGGCTTGCTCAGAGACTCATGGTGAGAATGACAAACAGAAGCCAAAATGCCGCAACACAGGCTACCTCAATGGCCTCCTATCAGTTGTACAAATGGCCCTGACATGTGGCATCTGAAAGGCGGTCACTGCAGCGTGCGTGTACATTTTGACCCTCCCTCAATCTCCACCACCTTTCAAGTTGAGGTCTAAAATGATAGGAATAGGAGGCTGGGGTTCTCGGTTCTGCCCGCATGGGTCTGATGCAAATTAAGGTAGTAATGCTCAGTTGTGCTAAGACCTTTAGAAAGAGAGGTGTTTTCTTTCACTCTATTTATCCGGCTTGGGAAGACTGCAAGAGAGGGTAAGTCCTGGTTTCCGTCCCCAGACTAAGAGAACTTACTGGTGTTAAGCACACCGTGTGAATACAGAGGAGGGTGGTAGCCTGATAAATTTGTTCCAGAAGTTTCTTGCATCGTGTTTTAAGGCTGAAGAGGTGGCAAACATTCTGTGTGAACAATTGAGAGACTCCTGGAAGAGGAACATTTCTTTGCTATCCTCGCACAGGAGTCACAAACTGGGTGATGTCCATAATATTTGGTATAGCTAGCACAGTTGAGTATACTGTATTTAAATATGTTTAAATGGGTATAAGCTCTCACGGGAGGTTACCTGCTTAGTTCCTGAGGGCATGTAGCTTCACAGTCCTGAAACATCACAGATCTCAGCTTCTCTAAGCCTGAGGTACCTGCACACTGTGATCGATGGTTCCTCTAGCTCCATCCACAAACTCCTGTAGAGATAGAATCAATTTCAAGATAAAAATGGTGTCACCTATACTCTTTTAAGAACCTGAGTTGTCATATCCAGAGCTGGAAGATGTCAAAAACATGGAACAAGAGTACTCCAACCTACTTATCTAATTTTCTTCTCTTTTCTTCTCCCTGCAGCCCAGACCTTTTAGCCCTCCCATACATTCTTCCAGCCCTCCTCCGATAGCACCCCTTGCCCGAGCTGAAAGTACTTCTTCAATATCATCCACCAATTCCTTGAGCGCAGCCACCACTCCCACAGTTGGTAAAAATTATCTCCTGTCTTTTAATCTGTTTGTTGTTGTGACTGGCTATTTTTTATCATCTGAAAACCTCAAGGCCCTATACTTCTGGTTGAAATTGTTTTGCTCTGTGTTCTGCTACTATCAGCTGACTCTTCTTTTAAAAGCACCTTCTCAGCAAAGGAGGCGAAATGCTTCAACTAAGCAAATAAACAAATAAAAGAACATTAACACCTGTATTTTTCAGGAATTGTCTTATGCTATTCCATACAGAGCTACTCATAAAAGTAAAGAAGAAATCAACAAATAAGGTCCAGTAATTTACATATCATTTCTATCATAAAAATAGTCTCCTTTGAGGAGGAATGTTCATTTAAGTTCCAATCGTGTACCACATCAGAACTCACGAAATTTTGATCTTTTATTTTTCTTAAAGCTTTCATTTCTTCATCACTTTTGGTTGTCCTTATGTTGACAGATGGTATAAGTGTTGGCATTGTGGGACTTGAGTAAACTTTTTGACATTCTTTTCTAGTGCTTTTCAGTGATGTGTGGTCAGTTTTCCCTGAGAAATAAGTCATTGCTGGCATTTTCAGTAAATGCCTTTGTGCCTCTTTCCTTATGGTGTGATGAAAGTCAAGAGTTGAGAATGGCTGCTCAGCTGGAAGGTTTTCCCAGGTTTAAATGCCTCATTTTGCCTGGAGCATCTTTCCTCTTCCCAAGGCTGATCTCTCTCTACACCTCTTCACCCATCTTCCATAAGCTGCTGCTTCTTTCATGTTTGCATGGTATCTCTGACCTGGGGCTCCACCCTTCCATTTTTTTCCCATTGTCTTCCTTTATTGTCTGAACTCCCCTCCAAGTCTTCCATACTGTAAACCAGCTGGCCCATCCTGCATTGCTTGGGAGAATCATTAACTCAAAGCTAAATAAATCCCTGCTATCATTTACCAAAGAAGAGCACACTACAGAGTTGCCCATGTGAGAAGTACTTTGATCAAAGCCTGAAGCTCTTCTGGAGAACTCCCTATTTTCCCAGGGATATAAAGGAAGGTGTGCCTTGTAGGGGGCCCCAAAGAGAATTTCAACTATATCATGTGTTCTGTATTTTTAATCAGACTAGCCCAAAACAATCCTTCAAATTTGGTGAAAATATAACCAGCTGTCCAATTTTGTAGGATTCATTAAAAGACAGCTATTTAACATCATTTATATAGCCATGTTTGTTCTTTCTCTGCATCACCCATTGAGGTAACTGGGGGCTTTCTCTTTTAAGATGCCTATGAGGCCAGTTCTCTCTGGAGTTTTTTCTGTACTGTTCCAACCTTTTTTTTTTTTTTTGACACTCTTTAATATTCCTGATTGCTACAGCCATTTCCCCCACTCTTGCTCTGTTTTTTTGTTTTGTTTTGTTTTGTTTTGTTTTATCTGGGGGGTTCTGTTTTTTTTGTTTTGTTTTTTCCTCAAGGTTATTTGTCCCACCTACTCCATGTGATTTCCCTGATTGGTCAGAGAGGAAAGTAAGAAGCATCAACTCTCACTCACAAAGTGGACCTCAACTGCCCTCAGATGAGTGACTAACATATTCTTTAAACTCATTGAGATTCATAGAGAAAATGACACACACAGAGAATTTGAACCGTGTACATTTTTATACAATGCATTTTTATACTCCCTGCCACAGAAATCTCAAATCCTGGCCAGTGACTTTGATTCTTAGTACAACCAGTATGCATTCTTTCAGGATGAATGACAGAGGGGTTAAAAAAAAATTGCCACCTGAGAGGATACTCAACATTGCTTCATTGCTGAGGAGCATTCTGATTTAATTTGTTTGGTTCTGGGTTTTGGTGGGGGTTTTTTTGGTTGTTTTTTGTTTTTGTTTTTATTTTTTTTTTTTTTTTTTCTCTTCCTCATTCTCCTGTTCTTTACTTCCTGCTGCAGTGGGTCACCTGACAGCCACTTCTCTCTGAAGTAGATGCCTTGTCAGATGGCTGCCAGCAACTCCTGTGTATTGCTGTTTATCTCTTTTCACAGAGGATGTGCTTTGGCTGTGCTTAGTCAGCCAAGGGGCTGACTATTCATGACTGACTTGGAATGTCAACTTTATGCAGTAAAATAACTTGCAGGGGGATAGAGAATTTCAGCAGCAAATTTTTGAGATCAGTGGCTCAACATTTCCCTTCTATCACACAATACTTTTTTGACATTTCCTGTGACATCTGAGCCAAAACTGGGGCAAATGTGGTGGAAACTTTGTACATATTTATTTGTACTTGCTTATTGCAAAGTTGAATGTAATTCAAGGACTAAACTTTTAAGAGCAAGTCTAATCTTCCTACACAACAGTTCCTGTAAGAATATGCCTCCAAAACACTTTGGACATAAAATCTTTCATGAAAGCTATGATTATAAAGTAGTAAATCTGATGCCACACCTGAAAATAAGACTTTCTGTGCATCACCACACTCAAATAATAAAGAAACCCTCTGCAACTGTATATCACTGAATTTAAGATGCCCTCCATCAGAAGATACACTATTATTTTATATATGATTAAGAAAAGGAGGGGAAAACTGCCAAGTAAGCTAAGATGCAATGCTTTCTTATCCATTAATTTTAAGACCCATTCCAATTTCAGAGATGTTAAAATGTGAACAAGTGCACATATCAGAATCAATGAAATATAGTACATTCCTTTTGCATTAGAAACACTCATAGGACCTTCACTATTTGATTTGGGGGGAAAATCCTATTAATATTATGGGAATAGAGAAAATGTTTAAAATTATTCTAAGAAACAAACTCTTAGACATTTAAAGATAAACAGAGATACCTGTAATTTAAATATCCATTTTTCTTACTTTTTTTCTTATTTCTATGGGTGAGAGTCAGGGTTTTTTTGTTTGTTAGTTTGTTTTTTTAGATGTTTGCAAAATCTTTTTTTGGTACCCCAATGCAGTAAGAATACCATAAAGACAATTTTTTCATTGTTAAATGAAAAAATATATATTATTAAATATATTATTTCTGATATACCTTCACTGTTAATTATGCAATTTCAACTGCATCTTTAACATCATCTCAGAAATCTGAATGAATGAAAAGTAACCATTTACAGGCACCAAAGGAAGCAGTAGGTGAATTTTGATGTTTCCTTTGGTGTAGAACTCTGAGCAAAAGTGATTCAGTACTGGAATATTAGCCGTAGCATCTAAATCTTACAGTATTTTTCTCTAAGTCTTTGTCTCTCCAGGCTGGGTGGCAATTCTGAATTGGATAAACATTCTTTTAAAAATACTTGTATTAATGCCAATTACTTGGCACAGAAAGACCTTTGAGGATGGATATTCCTGATCTCAACTAAAAATTCCCATACTTAAGTTTAGTCTTTTTTTATCTTTCAACCTTTTTTTTTTTTTTTTTTGGAAAGACCTGTCTCTAGTTCTGGCTTTCCCATCCCAGATCAATTTGAGACAATTTCCATGGTTAGTTCTTAAGGAAATTTTTTCTTCTGTACTTAATTTGAGTGTTACCCTTATTTAAAGCAAGCACGGAGCTATCCAATAATTCATCTTTTAAGTTCCCCAGTTTAGTTATGTTGTTTTCTTCAAAGCTCTCAGTGTCCACAACCACCATAAAAAAAATTATGAGCATGTTATTTAGCCCTATGAATTACTCTTTTGTAACTCCAATTCAAAAAACAAATGGCAATATTGGAGACCCATTTTTTTTTTTTGGTATGTGAATTCTTGCCTTCTATTCTTTTTTTTTAAGTTTTTTAAAAATTTTAATCCCAGTATAGTTAATATACAGTATTATATTAGTTTCAGATGTACACTATAGTGATCAACAATTCTATACATTACTCAGTGCTCATCATGATGGAGGCTCCTCATTTTAAGGAAATTGTAAATACGAAGTTAGTTCTTAAAAGGAAAGAAAATATCCTCCATCATTTCCCACTAACAGGTATGAAAGGGTATTGTAACATTCAGTTACTGCCAATGTAACTATTTTGCTTCCCATTTTCTGGACAGATTATGGAGTGTTCTTCTTAGTGCCATATCCTGTTCCTCTCCTATAGATATTATAGACATTGCATTAACTTGTTCTAGCCACCAAGGAAGTCACCTATATAATAAATACTGACTGACAAGGGCTATCCTAGAACCTTAAAAATTGACAAAGAAGAACTCTTCCTGCTTTACTTCCTAAGTCTAGGAGGCAAGCCAGTAGAGTATCTTTTCCAAGAAACATTGTTTACAGAATAGTTTTGCTACTCTCATCAATTTCCTTATCTTCTCTACATTGTAGAGAGGGTTCTCCCTTATGGGTCTTTGTATAGGTTTTATTCCATTTTTAATTTAAGTTGTAATAATACTCTTAGGACCTGTGGGATTGAGCACTTTTTTTTTTTTATCACATGGACTAGAACTCCAATTACCTGTATTTGTTAGTTGGTGAGAAAGGAGATCACATGCAAAGATCTGGAACGGTTGGGGTCCAGAGCAACTGTTGTGATCAATTTACAAAGACATTTGGCCGTAGCTGGATGCCATAGACGAAGATGGAATTACAATAATGTTGTCCAAAATTAACGGGCCGTAACTACTAAAGACGACTGCAAGGCAAACTGAATTTGGATACTGATGAGTTTGAAATGGGATACTTCATTCAGCAACTTCAGATTTATTCTGTTGCTTTTTTATAGTCTTCTTGAAAGCTTACTCTTGCCCACTGGGGCAGGGAGAAAATATATTATGAGTGATTCTGTGTACTAAGAGGTTCTACTGATGGACATATGTCTGGCCACTTGAGAACTGTGTCTAAGTGAAATACACTTACACAAGTCAATTACTAATGACAGTGCCTTTAGCAACTCCCTGAAAAGGTGGGGGTGTGATTTCTTCCATGGAGCTGACTTTAGCCAAATTCGCAGATTGCTAAAACCTGGCATTTAAAAATTTTTAATTTTTAATTTTTTAAATTTTTTCCTCATAGAACCATCATAAAATAAGCACATTAATTTTTTGGTACCCTATCATCATTATCCGAGTGTGTTAGATTTTGTTTCTTTTTTCCATTGATACCATTCCTGTGTTTCAATCAGTGAAGTGTACTGCTTGATTTCATTTGGGATTTGTATTTGTGTTTTTGTTTTCCATTCCTTTATATTTCTTTGGTTCATAGTGTCAGAAGATGATGTTTTTTATGACAAACTGCCCTCGTTTGAAAGGCGCTGTGATGCACTGGCAGGTATGGTGCTAGCCCAGTGATCCCTAGATATCTAGACTTTAAAAATCCAAGCCATTATGCCATCTGAATGCTATAAACTTCATGGACATGCTAGTCACCTCATGAGTGTCTGGTGCCTCTCAGAAGCACCCTGTCTATTTATTGTTCATCGTGGAATTCATGCCACCAAATTTTTTTTTTAAGTGAACCTATTAAAAAGCAGCAGGTTGCATGACAGTTTCTCAAAAGGTTTGAAGAAGGTGAGATGCCATTGCTTTGTGAATTTACAAAGGAAGGAATAATTTAACTGCTCAGAATTACATGTCCGGTGACTGCTTTTGGATTTAAAATATAATAGGACACCGTCAGTAATCTTGTTTTCTCTTTGGTACGTAGGTTAAGGGTGTTTTGTGTCTGGATGCCTAAGGTGATTCCAGGGGAGGGGACGGAAGATGTGCGGCATCTTCCATGAACTTTAAATTGATATGCAATGGTGTTGTCATTTAAAACCTAAGCTAAGTTTGATATAACCCATAACTCCGAGTTTATCTTTTTAAATATAGAAGGGGATGACATTGAAGATGAAATGGATACAGCAATTGCTAAATGACCATTTGCCCTAACTAGTGCAGTTAAAATATGCTGACGCCCCTGCATGGCCAGGAAGACTTCCGCTCCATGCGCTCAAGCACCGAGTATCAAGCTACCAGCAACACGTGCCCATCCCTTTAGGCCTCCATAGCTTTGCTTTTGCTTTCTGTTTCCCAAACTAAAACCCAAAACCAAAACATAGATTACCAGCCTTCCCTTTTTCCTGCACGCTAATGGCATGCAGTGCCTCCGCCCTCCCCCATAGTGCGATTAATGACCTGTAACTCATACTGTGTCCTTCTCTCTCCCTCTCCTTAACCTTTCCCATCCCGCTTCAACTCCTGGCCATACAGAGAATGAACAGCCTTCCCTCGTTTGGTTTGACAGAGGAAAGTTTTATTTGACTTTTGAAGGTAAGTAGTACATAGCATACCAGATTCTAATTGATACCCCTCATCCTTTTTTTCCCGTCTGCATTTCCAAATCCCAGTTCTCTTCAAAAGACCTGGTCGCACCTTCTATATACAAATGCTATGGCTACTTAGAAAATATGAAATACTAAAGAAAATATGACATGAATTTGGTTTGTATGGGATCTTCAATTTTTCATATTAAAAAAAAACGAAGCCAATTTGCAGTCAATATTGGTTACTTAATTGTGTGAAATTGGAAAAAAAAACAACAAACAAACACCTTTTATGGCCAAGGAACTTAACTCTGTCAACCAGGGCTCTTTCCTGACTCTTGCAGATGCAATACAACAAATGTAAGGATGTTTTTGGTTGGAACTGGCATTTAATTTTGTTTTGGGTAACTAATATTTCAGATACAACATCCATTATTGTAAAACATAAATATGTATACATATTCTTATGACAAGGAATGCTGCATAGGAGGTCAGAAAAATGAGGAAAAGAGCAAAAAGGAGTGTTGTAGTAAATTCTATTTTCATCTACTGAAATTGCAACTGACGTGGCTGTAGGAAAATGGACAACTATCGCTGGACTTGCCATTTTAGAAGATTAAGGTGAACTTACATAAATATAATGTCAGATATTTAACCTCAATGTTGGATAATTTGTTATACTCTGAATTAAGGATTAGCATTCTTCTGTTTTATGTTAAATTCTAAATCATTTTAACAGGCCAGGCATTTGATAAAAAATCTTATTTAAGTTAATTGTGGGGAAAATTTAAGTAATTATATTGTGGGTGGTCTCATCCGTAAATATTTATCACTTAAGTCCCTACTTTCTACCATTTTAAATAGCTAAATTTCTCCTAGGATCAAAAGTGGGCCAGAATGTATTCTACTGCAGAGTCGAATCTAAACATTGAACTTGTCTTTGTGTTCCAGGACAGCAAAAAGCAATTTCCTAACTTGAGTGTGTGTTTTATCACAATTTTAAAAATCACAATGACTGATAAAGGTTTTTAAGTAGCGTGTGAGGTGGGTTTTTTTTTTTTTTCTCTCAGGGGCGAATTTTCTGTGCAAGATGGTCCTAGAGGTGGAAGTCCTTAGCTGGGAGTAGCTTGGGTAGCAACAGAAAAGAATGATCTGATTTAAAGCTTTCCAAATACCTGATGTCCTGTCCTGGCTCAGGTGGAGGACAGGTGGATAGGTAATCTTCAGGGGAGGATGCATCTTTCCCACGTGATGTCAGGAGCCTTCCTCGCCTCGGGTCATTACTTTTGTAATAACCAAGATGCAAAATCCACAAACTTATGACCTTCTAAGCCAAACTTATGACCTTCTAAGCTTTCTCTTTGAATCTGATGGAATTAAAAAGTGCCCAGGGGTCTTTTTACTGATCAGCACATCTCAAAAGGAGAAGCTACGGTTGAATAGGTTGGTAATCCCCAAGTACAGCAAATCCCTGCATATATAAAGGCCCTCTCTCTGGTTTGGGCTGGCCGCAGCAGAATAATTTACCCTGTTTTAACCAGGGAATTGAACAATACGCTACTGCCAACCTTGCCTCAAATAATTGGGGCCCCACAAAAAAAACAAACAACTTCCATGGTGTTTGTTGTTTCCGTTTGTTTTGGTTTTAGAGTATCTATTGGCTCATTTGCTTGTGTTTGAGTTTGGGTTTCTTTAAATGGAGAGACAGACTTTTTTTGAAGATACCTCTCTAAAGACAATTTTAGGTTGTTGGTTTGTTTGTTTTTAAAAATATATATTATCAATCAAATATAAGTATTAATAACTGGAATAAAAATGTGAACTACATTTTTTTTCATTTTAGGAAAATATAATTATAACATATAATATAAAACATAATATTAGGTATCTAAAGTTGGTAACATAGCCATTCTAATTAATAAGATCTGAATTTCATAAGCATCTTGATTTAGACCAAGAAAGTCATGCAAGAAGGTGTTTCAATAGAAATAAATCGGAATCTCTAGTACCATGTTACCTTCATCTTGGACTTTGCGCAAGTCAAGGACGTATTAGAAAGGGCTTCCCGAGGGACTGTGGGAGCAGCCATATCACAAATATATGCCCCTATTTATCTCACTGAGAAATGCTTATGCAGATAAAAGTACATTAAAATGAACTTCAGGACTTAGAAGAAACTAAACATGACACTTTGCCACCTGAACAAGAATGACTATGTTTTAAGAATAGAGAAGGGTAGGGGCACCTGGGTGGCTCAGTTAGTTAATCGTCTTAGTTTCAGCTCAGATCATGATCTCAGCATCACAAGATCAAGCCCCGCATCAGCTCCATGCTCAGTGCACCATCTGCTTGTCCCTCTCCCTCCCTCTCAGCCTCTCCCACTTTGCTCCCCGCCCCCAAAATAAATAAATAAAATCTTAAAAAAAAAAAAAGAATGGAGGTTTGTTTTCACCATTTATGTACATTAGCCTCAGGTATTTTTAACTAGTGTAAGCTGGAAGGATTTCTTTTTAATTTTCTGCTGTGATGATAAAGGACATGGAAATCACCTTGAGAATAGTGCCCCTACCCAAATTTTAAACTCCAAAAGGACCGTCATTCAACATGTCCCATCGAATAGCACTTCTAGCATATTCTTCTAGGGCACTCTGGTTTTACCCACATTTGTTATTATTCATATCATTTTCTTCAATGCTTCGTTCAGGGAATACAGAAGAAGAAGATTCCCAGGTCGTATTACTCACCTGTTCTAAACAACTTTTAAATCATTATTTATTGGCATCTAAATAGTGCTTTTATAGTGTTCAAAACCTTAGCTGGTCTCATTCATACAGTGCTCTAGGCATTATAGTTACTCAGTAAGTGTTTGAGCCGCTAAACCAACCAACCAACTAATGAACATTGGCTTATGAATTTATTTGCAAACAAACATGATATGCTTCATACTTTCAAATTTGATTTAACAAAAAAGGTAGAAAGGTGTTAAACAATGGTTCTAAACCAAAAGAGTTCCAAAGCTTGTCTTAGTGTTTCACTTTGATAAACAGTTTCAGTAATATCTTAACCTATTTAAGTTGGGTTTTAAAAAAAATAAAGGTTGCAAAAGATAATAAATTAATTCATCCAAGAGTATGAAGCTATCATGTATTCTTCTGAGATGGAAAGAAAGGAAAGATATTTCCATGACAAATAGAAGATGTGACCATTAGACATTTGAACAATTCCCTAGAACATTTTAACATGAAGATGTTTCCAGAAATGTGCTGTCCCTCTCTGTTTAGCTTATTTAACTACAAAATCATCTTGTATTTGGTAATGAAAAACAAACAAACAAAAAACCTTGCAACCATTCTTAAGTGTCATTGTGTCTGAATAGCATCTCCATCCTCTGTGCATACAGCCTCTTGCACACTCATCTCTAGACTGTTCTGTGCTCCCGTTATTGCTCTTACCCGTATCACGCCTTCAGGAATGTCACATCCTTAGCAACACCCTCCTCTACATCCGCAGGCTCTCTGCCAGCCTCGCCCACCTGTTTCCTTAACTGAATCCCAGCTCTCTTCAGAGACCATCACTTCTGTAGCACTCTCCCTGGAAAGTTCTGTGGGCCATATGTCATGGAACTACAAGGCACTGTTTGAATTCTCCCAATTCCCTGTTGCCACTTCCAGACCACCTCCTGTTGTGCCTATGTGCAACCCACCTGATAATTCGACTGCCTACCACTCCTTCTTGCCATCCACTGCTGACCTTCTTGTCCTCTGCATTTAACTGCAGGCTTAGAGATGCTGGAAGCCCCTTTTAACCCTCTTCCTCACCTTGCTTCATAGCTTTATCCTGTGACATAGACTGATGTGGATGACCCATCCAACACCCTGGTTTTAGGGCCTCTTTGACTTCTTCAGCTCCAACACACTTTCTGTCCACGCTGCTCAGTAATCCATACCTCTGGCCACATCTTGGAAATGATCCCCACTGGCAAGTGTCATTTTGGGAGATGAATCCTGAGTTTGAATGACACATGCCTGGGCACAGAAGTAGATTACATAACGGCATTTCCCATCTGACTGGAGTTACCAAATAGAGAATTAATGAGATCAGCACAAAGCCCCAGAAAGAAGAGTTGCTATGTGTAAACAATTTTAAAAGCTGAAGCATAGGTTAAATTGTTCCCTAGAGCAGGAAAAGGGAACTAGGGTCAATGATGAATAGAAGAGAAAAGGTAACGAATATCCACGCATGCATTCCTCTATGCAGTGGTTAATAAGCCTTCCATGACGTCCTCTGAGCTCTAAGCCCGTGTGCAGGAGTGATGGAGGGAAAATGCTGCTTCTGCCTTCAAGGAATTCACAAGAAATGGAGGAGATGGGCACTTCCTACAAAAGGCATACTATAGCAACAGTCGTAATAGAATGCAAAAAAGTGCTGGAAACGTTTGAATAGTGGATAGACTTTAACCGGGAAGAATCTGGAACAACTTCTGGAGGCACAGGGACTTGGGCTGACTGACAAAATTTGGGGATTTACTGAAGCAGTTCGAGAGAAGTAGTAGGGATCGACAGTACCGTTTTCATCTTGAGCTTTGAAAAACACCATCAAAGTAGCATCATTTGAAATCTACTAGGATGCGGAAAGGAGTGAAATCTTGCGTCCCGATACACAGGGAGAAAGGTGATGTTGCAAACCAGGAGAAAGGGATCTCCAAGACAACTAGAAAAAAAATGAGTTACTTTTGGGACCTCTCAACCTAAAGGTCCTGCACCTTCCATGTAGATGAGTCCAGGAGTAAACAGATTGTGCAAATTTGGGAGTCATTTGCTTAGAGATAAGGACTGAATCCATAGAGGTAAGGGTTTAACCTTGGGGCATGCTTGCATTCAGGAGCCAGATTGGAAAAAGAATGCATTGTGACTTGGGACTTTCTTTATTGTATCCTTTCTTTAAATAACCACACAAATATTAGTGATTAATTTTTAATGCATGATATTCAGTGGATATGCTTTTGTG